CCCCCCCCCCCCCCCCACAGTATTTATTTAAAACCTTTCCTGTTTGCACCTTTAAGTTCCCCATCTGTAAACAGCACTTAGGTCAGGGTCTGTTTTACTTTCTTCCTTTGGGTCTGTCTTAAGAGTAACTGAAATTCCAGCAACAAAGGACCCTTAACAGGCACAGGGAAGAGTTTCATTCTGAGACATAGCATGTTCATTTTGATGATGGGAGCGATCCATTACACTATAGTAAGCAGTCTGCTTTCAGGGATGGAAGGAATACTGTTAAAAAGTAAACAGAGCCCTGTAAGTCAAACAATACTGGAGCCCTCTACCGACTCCTCTGCCTTGGTGCTTCATTAGTTTTAGTGTCCATTTAAATCCATGGCATGCCCTGCAACCAGCTGTTGTTGGTACTGCATGCAGAATCTCCTCTCGGATCCCTGACTGGCTCTCAGAGCTTCCACAAAAAGGACATTTGCAATGAGCAACTAATCTGTCATTGAGAACAATGGCACTGCTCAGATTCTGTACCATCATGCCCTGTGCATGCCAGTTTGGGCTCCTTGCTACTCATTTGATACACCATTCAATGAAACATGATCCCACAGGCCATGTATAGCAGAGGCATCCAGGGTGCAGACAGAATGGTTGGGAACCCTGCATGCAAATAAACCATTTCTCATGGTGGCCGGAAGGACACAGAGCCGATCATTCGGCAGATCAAGAATATCCCAGCATTCCCCTTCTGTGACTATGCCCCACAATGGTTAGGTGAGAGTAGAAATCTGACTGACTGTCTAAGACATCTGGGATGCCCCTACTTGGGAATCACAGAGGCCAGTTGTTATTCCCCCAGGCCTCCTATGAGATTGTGTAATGGTTTCCTGTAGCTTTGGCAGAAATGGATACTTGGGGCCACATGACCTAGTGTTGCTAAACCCCATCCTGACGCTGAACAAGAACCACGCTGCAGTCAGCAGGATGAAGGAAAGACACAATTTGAAATTGTGCCCTTCCCGCTCCAAACCACACAAAGCTGGGCACTGTCATAACTGAGGAGTAAATCGTGAGGTTCCCCAGGTACAGCCTGGGTCGCTGCTCAGCCACAAAACACATCTGGGCAGCTAACCTGCTAGGTGAGCAATGGCAAACATGAACATGGGGACAAACTCAGACCTGACAGCAACTCCACAGAAGTCTATGGAGCTGCATCCACTGGCAGCAGGGCTGATCGGGAACAGATAACCCGTTTTTTGCAAAATGTTTACTCTAAAGGAGATGGCAGCCTTTTCCATTTGTTGCTACTCTCTATGGAAGGTATTACGATGACTCACTAAAGCAGGGTGCTGAGCACCCTTTGTGGGGTGCTGATAGCACCCATCTCCCCAGAGGCTCTCAGTTGCCTGCAAGTTCATGTCCACAAAGCATCCAGCATGGGAGGACCTAAGCACTATGGGCCTGCTCCAGATCCCACAGACATTGTTCAGTGGGTTTTGAATCAGGCTCCCTCTGCAACATTCAGTGAAAAGCCCAGCTGCAAAGAAGCTGCAGCAGTGCAAACTGAGGCTCACAAAAACCACTGGGGCAGCATTTCTACATTTGGCCTTTGTGCTGTCTGGGGCTACGCGAATTTTCACTTTTCTACACAAGTTCATGATACTTTAAGCAAATCTTGCAGGTTATACTCTTTGTATCATAAGAGAATGCCTTAGAATTAGAAGAATGGCTCTGAAAATTAAGCTAACTGAAATGTATAACTAAGCAGATCTATGCAGAGGAGAAAAATCTCCGGCTACCTCCACATTAGCCTTAGGGAAAAATTAGTATATGTAAGCAACCCGCAATAGAAATCATACTCAGCTTTTTTTAAGCATTGCCACGAAATCTGGTAGTAACAGGAAATATGGCAAATGACAGAAAAGAATAACCGAAGAAATAAGTTTTCGGTGAGATGCACTTTTTCACTGGAGTAAGTAAAATGAAAATAAAATCACTTTTCTCTTGAATATTTAGCATTCTGTTTTTTCTAAATCTCCACTGTATTTTTCTCACTTTTTATCAAGTATCATGCTGTATAATGAATTGTAATTCAGAATAGGCTTTTATACAATTGAATCTGGGAGCCACTGTAGAATACGGATGGAGTTAGCTAGTTTTTGGTTTTTGTTTGATTGAGTTTTTTGCACTTATTTTTGGAGAACTTCTCATTTTGTCCACTTGTATATAGGGCAATTAGAAAGCCTTTAAATTGCAGCAAGAAGCCACCAGTACAAAGACAATAACATTATATCACATGAGTAGTAAATAACGTGAGTAAGCATTCATCTCCACTGTACACTATTGGTTAGGGAACAAAGAAAGTCTGACTCAGAGCTGAGAAAAACTGACTGACATTATAAAGTGCCTTTCGAAGGTCTATATACTTTCCATCACAAAGATCAAAATCAGATTTTCTTTCAAATAGAGTCCTCAGCCCTTAAAGCGCTGGGTTTTTTAATTAGCCAGTCTCTTACACTGGAACGTTTGGCTATCATGGGGAAAGTGGTTTAACAGTAACACTTCAGGCAGACTGGAGTTTTTTCTGAAAGTGGTCAGCTAAAATTAATGCCTCCAATAACAGTTCCTAGACATCTCCAGTTAGAAGTGCCTCAACCTTTGCAGGTCAGAGAAAAAGCAAATATCACCCTCCCCGGTCCGTTCCCACTGCCAATTTTAGGACACTGTAAAGGATCCAATATAGCATCCATACTAGTCACAATAACCAAACATTTCAATTCACAAAGCAGGGCAAATCTACTATAGACTTCATTGCAGAAGCACATACTACAGCTACTGTAGAAGTTACCAAAACAAAACTAAAGCCATAAGAGTAGGACCTTTTTCAGGTCCTTTGGAGACAGCTTTACAAACCCTAAGTTGAGCTCTTTTAAGTGCCAGTTGATAACATTTCCATGCCGTGGCAAAGGATTTGCCTAAAAGAATAAGTCCAAATCAACTTACTTGTCTAAAATGAAGTACAAATCAAATCCTCCATAACAAGCAGGACCTCCTTTCTCTCTATTTCCACCTTGTCCTTCGCAGGCTAACACAAACGCTGCAAAGAAGAGAAATCTGAAGCCAAATCTCAAGGCTCTTTGCTTTACAATGGCCATTATATCCAGAAAGGAGGGAAAGGTTCTCTTCTTCCAAAGCTCCCTTTTTTCACACTCTTCTCCAAAAACACCATTCAATGGCCTTGAAATAGATACACATATATTTGACTCCTTAAACTCCACTTGCAGCGATTGTCCTCTGAAATTGCAAGACTTTTCCCCCTTGTTTCCCCGGCAGTTCTGTTGCTTGGTTTCAGATTTCAAGATGCACAATACTGTATTTCGCTTTTTTATTTAAAGGGACTTCTCCATCACTCTCCTAGGCAGCTCTCAGAAAGCAGTATCATTGTTTTGCAATAGGAGAAACTACTTCCCGACAATTCTTGCTTTGCCCCCGATTTCAGAGAATCTGAGGAGGTTTGGAGTGTTTCTTCTTTATTATTGTTGTTATTGTGGGCAGTGGGGTTTGTTTTCTCTTATAATAGAAAGTTCTGAGAATGCCATCTTGTGGTGAAGTCCTGATGAAACAGACTGGAGCTCTGAAACGATGTTAATTAGAACACGCATGCCCTGAGCACACAAAGTACATATTGCAGCAATTTTTTGTTTCATACATGTGACCCATCTTGCATACACTCAGGGGGTATGTCTACACTACAAAGTTAGTTCGAACTAACGGACGTTAGTTCCAACTAACTTTAATAGGCGCTACACTAGCGCTCCGCTAGTTCGAATTTAAATCGAACTAGCGGAGCGCTTAGTTCGAACTAGGAAAACCTCATTTTACGAGGATTAAGCCTAGTTCGAACTAGCTAGTTCGAATTAAGGGGTGTGTAGCCCCTTAATTCGAACTAGTGGGAGGCTAAGCCTGGCCAG